GCTGTGATCTGATGATGGGACAGCGTGCTGCTGGGAGTGACTGCAGCCCTGGAGGCTGATGAATCTGCTCCGTCAGCCAGTCAGGATGCACATAGCTTCAGTCGGGGTCAGCAAGTTCTGCTTCCTGTTTTCTCTCGCATTCTGCGGCCTCCTGCTCCTGCTCATTCCAGCTCTCCGGCCCCCCGCACGCCAGGTGGAGCTGCCTAAGCCCCGACCCCAGGTCAGACCTGCCCAGGCGGGGACGTCACACCAAGTCAGGATTCCAGCAGGTTTTTTACATGTTGGGGACAAAGAGATAACAGCAGGTCTTAAGAGGAGCTCAGAAGGGCTGGGGAAACCCATCAAAACTGAAATGAGCAGGAACAGCAATCCCAAAACAGGAAAGGGCATCAGAAGAATCCCCGAAAGAGGCGTTGGTGGACCTCGAGAGTATAAGTCACATGACAAGTTGGAGCTGAAGGACATTTTTATTGCAGTAAAGACAACCAGGAAGTATCACAAGTCCAGACTGGAGCTGCTCATTCAGACCTGGGTGTCTCAAGCTAAAGAACAGGTGAGTACCACTCCTGTTGTCACGTGGCTGTGCACTCCAGCTGTGCACTCCAGCTGTGCACTCCAGCTGTGCACTCCAGCTGTGCACTCCAGCTGTGCACTCCAGTGTCCAGCTGTTAGGCTTTCCTATTGTTGATGCAGGCAGAGGTCCGGTCTTGGTGTCAACCAGGAGCTGGTGCTGTTTCAGAGCTGCTCTGACCCGTGCTCATGTACCGACTCGTGTGTGCCTGCTCAGCTTAGTGATGATGATGATGATGATGATGATGATATGTGGAGAATTTAGCCAGGCTGTACACAGGGAAAGACACATGTGAGTTTTATTGTGATGTCCACAGTGAAGTGCTCGTCCTTTATCGTCCCAAACAGATGCCAGACAGAAACAATCCTGATAAACTGGAGAAACAGAAGAAATGATCGTTTAACAGCAGCTGGCACATGAGAAATGTGACATTCAACATATAAACAAATGAAATAAAAGAATCTGAGCTCCTTAAAAATGTTTAAAATATTTACTCTGTAAATCTGCACGTGCTCTCTGTGCACCTCAAACATATTTATACAGCTTACATTTCTGTTGACTTTTGTTCCATAATATCAGAGAAGTCAAACTAACACTGCTGCACATTCAAACAGCTAATAATAACTGAAACATGTCTGATTACACATTACTGAAGTCATTCTTGGCTGCAGAACGACGTGTTTTTGTCTCCCGGTGGTCCAAACTATTTTAGTTGCGGTGCTGGAAGGTTGTGCTTTGCATGGACACAACTTTCTGCAGCTTCCACACAAAAGGTGAAGATGCAGCTTTCACTGCAGAGCACCAGTGTAAGTGTAAGGCTGCTCAGTGCTGCTGGCGAGCCACAGTCGTGCTGTGTCAGCTAAAACTCTGCTCTGAGAGCGCTGCTGTAAGGAGAAGAGTGGCTGTGACAGAAACACGTTCCCACAGCATGTAGTGAGCACATGTGATCTGGATTGTGTGTACACACAGATGTTAGTCGTGAAGGATTTACTGTTGTGTACACTGTGTGGCTCTTTAGGGGGGGTTTTGGGATTGCACAGCTAATGTGGTGAAGTTTGTCCTCGGTGACATTCAGCACAAAAAATCTGCATCTGCATGTGTCAGAGTTATCCAATCATTCTGCTCCGTGTGCACGACGGTCTGCTGTACACAACAGCTAATGCTGAACATCCAGGTGTGTGTGTGTGTGTGTGTGTGTGTGTGTGTGTG